GGGGCCGGCGGGAGAGGCGGTGGCGGGAGCGGCGGGAGGGGGGCAGTTGTTGGTCTCCCTGACAGACGGCGCTGGAGAGACGGGGAGGGAATCCTTTAAAAACCCTTCTCCCAACAAACCCCAAAGAACCGCAGGCATTGAAATTGTCTCCTCTGCTGTTTTAAAGCCAAGGGTGGGAATCAAAGCCTAAGCAGGAGCCTGAACCAGCCTAAACGCAGAGCAGAGCCAAGACTGAGGTGGCTGAAGGGCAACCAAGGCAGACAGTAAGTTGTTGACCATCACCCAGTTTGCAAACCCTCGTTGTGACAGAGCCCATGTCCCACACACCCCGGCCTGTGGAGGGACCCTGAGCACCGAGCACCCTCAGCTGCTCCCGCTTCCCAGAGCTGGAGGTTGCTCGTCCCTCAGGAGGGCTCAGGGACCCCGGCAGGAACAGCAGAGTGTCCCCAGGGAGGCCTGAGGGGCCCAGCCAGCACCACACCAGGGGTCAAAGCCACCCCTGTGCCCGTCCGCCTTATTCAACAGAGCTTAAGAGTTTTCTTCCTTTGTATGCTGCATGTATTATCTATTAGAAGATTAAATGTATTACATTTAATAATAGCATGCATCATAGCTTTAAGTGTTGCCACCACCTATATTTTTCTCCCCCGGTTTAATGTTTACCAGTAGAGAAGGGGCCAGTATCTTGCTGAGGCGCACACGGTGTGGACGTGGGCAGGTACAGACACCGACTCCTAAAATGGAGGACTGGTGCAACACTGCCCTTAGCACTGCTCTGGAGACTGAAGGGCACTCAGTTCCGTCCTCTGTCCCCAACTTTCCTTTACCAGTATTACGCTGTGTTTAAGATCAGCCTTCAGTGGGGTGCTGTATTATTAAAGCTGGTTCGTTTATCAACTTGATTTTTAAATGTCTGGTCATCTTAAACTCATTCATATAATTTGAAAACCTTTTAACATTTAGCAAAAGAACGGCTACATTGTTGGAGATCTACTAGGATCACAAAAGGATCATACCCTAGTATTTCTCTATACAGTAAGAATACCATATAACTTGATTTCATGATCATTATTAATCTTTTTCATGCTGATACTACGTGTGCTTACATGCAAGCTAGTGAACGAGGAAAGACGTGCATTTGGAGCTCTTACATGCTTCACTTTTTTACCTAAATGCAAGTTACTGCAGATAACAGGTGCATTTCTTCTTGCATAAATACTCATTTTGAAGAGTCTCAAACTCATCAGAACGTAGCAAAATGTACCCAGAATACGGTATTTTTCAAGGGCAATGAAGAAACATCTAACTAGTCCTTTGCTTCCCTCAGCCTAGGCTGCGAGCCTGGAATGATTCCTTGAAGAAAAATGGTTATAAAATACAGAATACTTAGTTGAAGTAGTCAGAGAGCCTTGAGGGAGGTACAAAACACTCTTCAGTACAATAGACGGCATCAGAAATGTGACTTCCTCTTTACATGGGGTTCCACGGAGGCAAAGAGTATTTTTCTCCCCCCGTCCTTCCACCAACTGAAAAACACAGTGAGAATACAGATGCTGTCACAAGGAAACATGAAGACATTTAGCCTGTCTTCACTCCTGGTGATTAATGGCAGCTTTCAAACTTTTTTGGGGGGCGGGGTTCAGTAAGAGTAGTCACACACCTTGTTTTCATTTCTATTAATACCACCTGATGGTCTCACAAGAATATGAACCCATAAATAAGAATGGGTTAGATCCCCTGTGTCTGTGCTTGAAACAGATAGTACAGTTGTGTGTGGGAAGAAAGCTAATGGGAGAGGTTGTACCTCCAAGTACTGCTTAAAAGTTTAGGTTTTGTTTTGATTTCAACCTTTGACTCTTGCCATTTGTTCTATGTGACCTTTCTTGTAGTTGGAAATTACTGGGGCAAATGCTACACTCTTTCATCCTCAGGTTATTGGAGAAGGTGGTGTCTTGTTCAAATGGATTATGTCATCCATGGATTCCCCTGCTGGAACACCTTTCACATGATGGAGTAAGTCTTGAGAGAAAAAAGTGTATAGATCCATATTTAATTTAAAAATAAACTCGAAATAGCAAAGGAAAATTTACAACTTTCTGCATCCCATCTAAATTAAATGATTTAATGATATTTATCATACTGATATATATACATACACAATATCACATAGCGCTGATGAGTATGCTGGCTAAAAACTGTTTCCTCTTAAATATATATTACAAGGAAGATACTTCCTCTGTCTACTAAATCGTCATTTCATTTTTTTTAAGCAAAAAGCAGATCTGACTCCAATTGAAATAGGATCAAGATCTTTAGTTTAATAACTGTAGTGAAGGAAAAAAATAATCTTCAAAATGCATGTGACTGAATACATCCTGGATCAAACTAGAATTCAACTTTAAATATTAAATCTTTGTACTAGAAAAAATTATACAAGAGTTTCACAAAATGCACTGGTTTGTGGCATGGAGGGTAATTTTTTAGTTTTATTTTTGCCTTATTTTTGTGTCTTTGTTCTTTGCGTTTTGGTTTCTGTGGTTTTGGCTGAGCTCTTTTTTTTTTTCCCCTGGGGGTTTTTAGTTGGGGGAGGGGGGTGTTTGGTTTATTTTTTTGGGTGTTGGGGTTTCCTTTTTGACTGATTGTGACTGATAAGGGGAGGGAATTGACCTCTGCTTGGAAGAGAGCCTGATGATTTTGGACATTTTCTTCCATATTAATTTGCTTTTATGAGCAAGAAGGATTAAAACCCCAATATGACTTCTCATTCATATACAGACAGGAAATATCTGTCTGTCATCTAAAAATGTGTGGCATAATGGAATACAAGCATCTTCTCAACCTTTTATGTTTCTGTGAAAACAGTTGTTGATTATCATATAATTCTTTGTTCCTCAGCATTGCAAAGCAGTGCAATAAACTGTTTTTTGAAGGCAGAGAATTTAGACCTTACTGCTTAAAAATATTCAATAGCAGTGACTTGAAATGAGCTGTTAAGGGGCAACTCAATCACAACACAGCCTTACAGGGGCTGCTGCTGATGTAAATGTTCAGCGTCATCTCATTTAAATAATAATGCAAAAGTCAGGAACTTGAAAGGGGTGGGGAGGAGAGTGAAGGGAAGCAGCCTGGAAAAGAAACCACTGTGTTCATTCCTCATATTCAGATTTTATTCCATCACCTAGTAATGAGATACTTCCCTCAAAGCATCAGTAGCTGATTTCAGTTTTTAATACACAATATAGGGCCTGATCCAAAATTACCTGAGGTTAATGAGTCCAGTGTGAATTACTTGATTAAGATAAATGACTTTACTGCAAGCAACTTTTGCTTACAGGGATTACTACCAGCATGCCACTTCAAACTAATATTAATAATACAACATTAATAACTGATCTCAAAATTACTAAAGCAAGTTTACAGAATAGTAGCATATCCTTCCATTATTCTATTAATGCTTTAAATTTAATGCTGTTTTTCCAGGCAATACCCAAACACTCTACCTAACTTAAGCAAAAGGTACAACCTATGTGAGGGATTATTCCTAAATTTAATTTGCTTTGGAAGGCTAGAATTCACATTCCATAAACTAAGAAGAAACAAGATAAGTCCGGAACATTTCTGAATAAAATATGCGCTTTTATCAGTTCACTATGCCAGTACAGAGACATAATTACCTTTAGAACATACGTTCTTATCGCCCTCTTACAACCTTTAAAACCTGCTTGTATACAGCTATCACAAGTTGGTTATCATGAAAAATAATGATCCCCCGTGTTTGCGAAGTCACTGAAGACATCTGTAACTTGAAGTTCATTATATAATGCTTACAACAAATACTTATAGATTAAAAAAAAAAAAAGTTATACAAATGGCCCATGAGATAAAGCTATATGGTTTTGAGTAGGGT